ATGGTATGTGTAAAGTTTGATGCTTCTTTGAGGACTAAGAGATGGAAATTATCTAAATAATCTAATTAAATATAATGATCCTTTTTAAAATGAACAATATGTGTATAAAAGGATCTAAATATTTTCAAAGCTGAATAATAAAAAAATGAAAGAAACATGAATGTATCCAATGATAGGGAGTAGTTACTGCTTTGGGATAGAAGAGAGATATGTCCAGTCTGAAGACAAATAAATTCAATTATTTATAAACACAATATAAATTTATAAACACAATATAAATAATATAATGCCAATGTAGTAATGCCAATGTAAAGAATTACACTGACTGGAACACTAAATAGTCATCAGTTTTTATCTTCTAACTTAGAGAAAATTACTTGTTTCATGGTCAAAGGAATTGACAATAGCCAGTAACTGATACCAACTTGCCTGAACGACAACAACAAAATATCTCAATTAGAAGTATCCCCAGAAAACTATAAGAAAACTGGGGTCATACTTTTAGCTATCCACAGAAGAGGAATCCAAGGCCAAGTGATTATACTCATGCCCGCTGGTCTTCTTCATAGACTGGTCCATAAAAAAGAAGAAATATGTCTCAAGAAATGAAGCTGGAAGCCTCAGATTACATACTGAATGGAGCACTGGGTGTTATACACAAACAATGAATCATGGAACACTACATCAAAAACTAATGATGTAATGTATGGTGATTAACATAACATAATAAAATTAAAAAAATTTCTGACAAAAAGAACCACTGCTTTGATCTCACCTTGAAAAATCTACCTTTGAATCATCTCATGGTTTCCCTGGTATCCCTGCCTCGACCTGGATCTTGAAAATTTGGCACTACTGACATTTTCAGCTAGATAACTTTGTTGTTGTTGTAAGGAGCTGTCTTGAGCATTGTAGAATGTTTAACAGCATCTCTGACCTCTATTCACTAGATTCCCATGGCACACTCCCCACCTCCAGCCATAACAATCAAGAATGTCTTCAGAGTTGCCAATTGTCTCCTGATAAAATTACCCCCAATTGAGAACCACTGGTCTAAAGAAAGATAACTGTATTGTGTATATGGCAACTGTGTAGGTGTGCGGTTCCTGTGACTTCATTGGCCAATCAGTATTAGCTACACTACTGATACCATTCACTACTAGGATGCCAACACATACTGCCAAAGTTAGATCTTTAAAAACAACAACAACAAATTCTCTATGATTGCAGCCAACGTGTAAAACCATTTGGCCAATCAGAACTTTCTAATAACCTTTCTGTAGTTCAATTTTTTTCCAAGTTTTTTATGTAAATTCCAGTTACTTAACATACAGTGTAATATTAGTTTCAGGTATAGAATTTAGTGATTCATCTTATATACAACACTGAGGGCCCATCACCAAGGGCTTACCTTTATTTCAAATTTTAAGACGTGAAATTTTGGGTGCCTTTATCCAGTAAGTATTTACTGGTACCACAGAATTTTTTTCCATAGGGCACTTATTTCCTTAAACATGAATCAGAAAATAAGTTTCTTGATTTTGTGGTGGTAAAATAGAGTTGGATCTATTCCCTCCACCCCCACATACCCAATGGCAGAACAAATTAAAAATAAACAAATACAAATATTATGATGGCATGCAAGCCAATGGATGCTATCTCTATGCCTAAGTCAATAAATATTCCCTGGTTCTAATCAAACCTACTATCTTGGAATGGACTATAAAAAGACAGTTGGACCCCCAATATGTGTAGCTAACATTTTCCTTGGAATCATTCTGCTGCCAAATATGCATTTCTTTCCTCTGTTTTGGGCTATTTTTACAGCATGTTTTTAAAAGCTCTGCAGATTTTCAGAGTCAAAAAGACGTGAGAGTCTTATACATCAGTTACCCATTTCCATATAAGTGCATTAGACCCATTTCCAATTCCCTCCTAATTTCAAAAAGTGATTTGATAGAACTGTTTATGGCTGCTGGTGTTTTCTGCTAAGACCACTGGTGATATTCAATTTACTGACAGCAGAAAGAGTACATATAGCTAATACTTACGAAACATTTCCTCATTATGTCACTGTGAATGAGGTTTTGTTTGAAATAGTTCTGGCTTTAAGAGATAACATTTTCAAACACTCAAAATTGATGAAGAGCAGTTTTGGGGCTAAAGCACTTCTTTTGCATAACTCTTCTTCAAAAAGTTATATACCCTTTAATTTCCTCCTTCATTAGAAATCCACCTATCTTGAATCCAAAAGAAGCCTTAAGACAATTATTTCAGGAAAATGATTTACTTTTGTTTTATTTTTGACAGCCACGTCCAACATTATTGTTACTCATGGAGTCTGCTAACCATGATTACATAGCTAAAAGTACCCACTATTCATATTTAAAATGTTTTTAAGAGGGAAATGACAATGTGGTGTTATCTTAATTTTTAAAATAAACTGCCTGTCACATTTTAGAAAAATATGTCCTACTAAATAATAGGCTATTATATTATCACTTTCTATCAATAATATGTTTATTTTCTTAATTGACTTGGCACTTTTATTACAAAGCTTTTATAGTGATCTTAGCTAATTATGATTCTAATTAAAATATTGATAATTGCTCAATGAAAAATCTGCAATACGAATAAAATTCTTATGCTCTAGTAAGAGATTTTTTTCCAACAGAATGGCCTTTGAGAGAAAGTAAACCCAGACTTTAGCCTAGCATGAGCTTTGAAAAGACGACTACATTTAATAATGCTATCTTGGAGTGGGGAAGAAATGATTAAATGAGTTCCTCTGAAGAGATGTGGAATCATGGTATTTGTATTTTTTTATTTTTTACAGTTTTGAGTTAACTGGTTGCAAATATATGCCATACTCCAATCCCTTATTGGTGCACCTCCCCCACCACCACTGAATTCTGACACCTCTAGGACTTAGAAATTGCTTAATTATCTGTGTTGTGAGATAAATGTCTTTAGGGAGCCTATGAATCTTAGAAGATCAGTAAATTAGAATATTTACTAAATATGACTCTGGTAATTAAGAGTCACTGCCTACATAAAAGAGAGTAGAAATAGACCTCAAAAGGATTTAAAAAGATTAAGCACACACGCACAAAGATAAAATGGTATTAATCAGTACATGGAGAAACTACAATGAGGTGAGCTGGGGGTGGTGTGAGGGACCAACAAAAGAACTGGGATAATGTAGTAAAGCCACAAGATTTTATTTATTTTTGTTTATTTTTTGATGTATCATGGAGGCTAAGGAAGTAAGGACCAAATGCTGAAAAAAAATACATAATCTATGACCATAGATTAGGTCCACCTAATGAGGTGAAGACCTCATTAACCTGTATAAAGGGAATGATCAATAAGGAATTATCACATAACTGAATATTCATGTACTGAGTGTCTATACCTAACTCAAATGCTTGGCCACTGAAGGCCTATACTCCCCCTCAAAAATGATACTGTGTGATAAAAAAAAAATAATAAGATATTTAGTTTTTTTCCCCCAAAACTAATTTTATTGAAAATCAATTCATATTGACTTTCATCAGCAAATCTTCAGTATACCCTCTCCTCATTACCAACTCCTGCTTTCTGCCTTTTGTCCTACTGAGGGCTTTTTTTTTCCCATTCATTTTAACATACCTTGATGATTCCTTAGCCTTTTCTCTAGTACCACAGAGGACCATCCAATTAAGAAATAACAGACACTGCTCTAAACATTTATTAAACTTTTTCATTAGGGTTAGTATTATTTTCCCCAAGGAAATCCGTATTTTTACAAAGTGAGCAATCTGGGTTCTATCCTCAGCATTCCACAAGGGCTATAAAGAGTTGCATTCTGAGTAGCTGTTTCTCTGATATCTGTGAATTAACCAATTAGTTTAAAAACAAAAATGTCTTTATTCTGTTACTTGTTGCTCTAATTACTAAAGTACATCAGCTGTTTGGTTTAATTTAGCCTAATAGATGCATAACTATATAAGAACTTCCTGATTTCATTGACCATATTTTCTTAATATATAAAAACAGTAAACAACAGAAGGGTCCAGTCCATATCTTTCACCTGGCCATCCTATAAAAAACATGAAGTCTAGATGTCTATTCCAAATGTACAAGTAGAAATAAGAAAAAAAAAGGGAGCTGATGATTTGTGCTCACTGATTTAATTTGCATGGAAAATCCTCTGAGGCCTTGGAGTACGTTTTCTCTGTATCCTATGAGGTCATTTAATAGGCAATATATTGAACTTTTGATTATATAAAACCATGAGTGAATAACTACACACTGTTTTTCAGTGGTGTTTGACAGCTAAATTTTGAATTTCTGCAAAAGTTAATTCATTAACACTCACTCTGTAGGTAATCATAGATAAATCCACCTTAAGAAGATTGAATTTACAAGAAAGACAAAATTCATATTTTTTTGTAAGAGCAAAATAAATACATTCTGTTATTTAAACACTGTCAGGCTAACCAGTGACTCTGGAGAAGTAAAATGAAAACGGTAGAAGCCTAAATTATAAAAGTAAAACACATCAGCCCCAGCAGAAAGCCAGTTTTAGAAAGTCTGCCTTCTGCTTGATCCAGAAAACTACAATAAAATTAGAAGTCAGAAAGAATGAAAAGTAAAGAGGGAGAAAAAGGTTGTGATAACTTGTGTTAGATTTTTTTTTTAATCTTCACATCCGTATGAGTGATCTTACATAGGAAATATTGGAAGAAACATTGATTCTAGGGAAATTTTATTCTTGGAGACATTTACTCATTGACTAAAAAGGGGAGACATGAAGATAAATGGGGAGACATGAAGCAGATGGGCACATGGGCATTTCCTTTTAATCGATGTACTGATTCTAATGATATGCCAAGCCCTAACTTTTTACCTGAAATGTTTTGCAGTGCTGGAGCTGAAGAAGAAAAAAGTTATGTGCACCTAGAGAGCATTCTAAACAATACTGAAATGCATAAAGTAATTAATTTTTCATTACTTACAAAAGTTGTGTTTTCCAATAATAATGTGGTGGCATTTGTTTCTACATTCAGTTTAATGACATGTCCATTCTCGCTTTTATACACCACATCTGTATCTGCAACAACAAAGATATTAATAATTGACAAACACATTGACTAGGTAATATAATAAACTGTAGAGGAGAAAATGTGCATAATAAGCAGACACATTAGAACAATCACTGTTAGCCTTTAATAACCTGAGCAAATTTTTGTACTTGGCTCACATTAATCTTCTTTAGTGATCAGGAAGCCTGACTAGCACATGGTCTATTGTGCGGTGAAAACAGGGTTAGTGAAAGGGGCCACTCAGGTTTCTGGTTTAACAACTGAAAGTTAATTAAAATATGGAAAATCTGCTGCCCATTCTGAGATGGAAAGAAGGGACAAAGTGCCTCCAGTTTCCATGTTACTGTTACTCATGCATGATCCAGTTAAAGGGACAACAAGGGCTGCCAGTTTACCGTAAAGCCACACCATTCTAAGCTACTCCTACCAGACCACCCTCATGAAGACTTTTCCTGTCTCCTTTCTTACTCAATTCCTATCCACCCTTTCTCCTTAGCTTTGGGAATTTTGTCCCTGATATTTTATCTGGCCTGTGTGATCACAGATCAAAATCTCTGACTGCTAGCATGCCCCTGTATCATCTTTGTCAACTTTAGGAAAATGATGTCTTCATTTTATTTATTTTTTGATGTCTTCATTTCAGTTCAATTCAGCCACATTTGTCAGCAAATTAAATCAGCTTAAGAATACCTCATGGATGCTTGGGTGGTTCAGTTGGTGAAGCATCTGACTTTGGCTCAGGTCATGATCTCAGGATCCCGGGATCCAACCCTGGGTAGGGCTCCCTGTTCAGCAGGGAGTCTGCTTCTCCCTTTCCCTCTGCCCCTGCCCTGCTCATGTTCACTCTATCTCTTTCTCTCAAATAAATAAATAAAATCTTAAAAAAAAGAATAATTCCTCAGATTGAAAGTATCAACACAAGGGAAAACTGCCAGGAGTTAAATATAAATATATATTCATTTTCACATTCATCTAACTTAGGGAAAATATTAAACAAGCTAAATATTCATGGTAGATTCAATGTTGTTTTTCCTAAATGAATATAAAAGAAATATCCCAATCTTTGCTGAAAAGTATGTTACTTTATTTCTACTCCACTGAATGTACATAGATGGTATGTGCAAAGTTTGATACTTCTTTGATGACTAAGAGTTGGAAATCATCTTAATAATCTAATTAAATATAATGATCCTTTTTAAAATGAATAATATGGATCTAAAAGGATCTAAGTATTTTCAAGCTGAATAACAAAATGAAAGAAATATAAATGTATCCAATGATAGGAAGTAGTTATTGTTTTTGAGTAGAAGAGAGATATGTCCAGTCTGAAGAAAAATAAATTCAATTATTTATAAATACAATATAAATAATGTAATGCCAATGTAGTAATGCCAATATAAAGAATTACACTGGCTGGAACACTAAGTAGTCATGAATTTTTATCTTCTAACTTAAAGAAAATCACTTGCTTCTTGGTCAAAGGAGTTGAACAATATATATTACACTATATATATTATACATATATATGTATAAATTACACACATATATATGTATATGTATTATATATTCCACATGTGTAATGTACATATATATTATATATTACACATATATGTATGTGTATGTGGTTGTATGTTAAAGGGAAGTTACCCAAATAAAAGCAGACTTGAATGTTTTTTTTAATGATAATCTTCTTTCCAGTTTTAATCAATTCTAACCCTTTACATGATATTGCACCTTGCTAACCCTCTGCCCATTCTTAGAAGAAAGGCAATATTGAAGCAGTTTGGGTCCACTATCCTCAGTAAATGAAGTTATACAAGACACAATTTCTCAGAACCCAAATGTCTTCAGTTGCATAAGCGTGAACAAGTACTGCATAGTGGGTTATGAAGGTTTTATGGAAATGTCTGACACTTCACATAGAACAAGATTTTCAGACTTGTTCTCTAGTTATTTCAATATTACAAAAAGCTATACCTAGAAATTATATGATGAGAAGTGATCAATAGTAGCAAAAATGCTATAAGGATAGCACAGGAGGCCAGTAGTTCTTGAGCTCAATAGGGACATTGACATGTTGGATCAGGGGGAAAATGGTGTATTAAGAAAGGAGGAAAAGAGACAAAGATAGATTTTCAAGTTATTATCTGAAGCAGACTGTATGGGCAGAAAGATAATCCTATGTGATATTTAAAATAAGGCCTTTTATCACCTTCTGAACTTTCATCAGCTATAAATAAATTGGGTTCTACTATCATTAACTTTACCTGTTGTCTATTCTAGTAATGTAGAATAACAGCTCTACACAAATAATAAATATTTGCTTTGATTTATATTCCTTTCCTCTCTTCCCTTTCTTTTCTATCCTGTATTTATGGTCATAGCTCAACAGCAACGCTGGTCGCCTGTGTTATTCATTTGGTTTTGCCAGCTAATTCTGGTCTTCTGTCTTCCTGCTCTCAGTTAATGCTCCTTCAACAAAGAGTCCAACCTCAATCAACACCTCTGTTATTTTTCTTGACGTTCTCAATTCTGGACCACTTTGTGATATTGACGGAAACTGCCATCATTGATAAGCAAGAAGAGCCAAAGAGCATGTCTTAACAAGTCATCCTTATAATATTTTCACTAGAAATTAAGAGAAAAAGGACTTTCCCCCTTCTACTGCACAGTGAAGATAAATAAAGCCAAATGCCATCAATGAGTGGGTCTTCTTCTAGGAGGCAAGCACACAACAGAATTCTATACAGGGATGAAGTCTGTGGGCTTAGGGAAGAAGAAGAGATCAGAGAGCAACTGTAGTATGAATGATGGTTCATCTTCAATGGAAAGGATGAGTGACATATGGCCACCCAGTCTCACAGTAAGAGAAAATCCTAAGCCAGTGATGGACTGTATGAGGTGTAGAAAAAGGAAAATTAACTTTTGTTCCCCTTAGAACCAAAGTAGAAGGAAGTGAAGCTTGTTTGAGAAGATAAAAACTAAATATTTTAAAAGTAAATTCTGCTGAGTAATTATTTAGACTTGAAAAAATCTATAGAGATTTGAGATTTATAAATACCTTTAGATCTGCACACTTGTAAATTTTCCTATTAGACTCTCAATGTTGAATTAGAAGGAGAAACTTTTTTAAATGAAGTGTAATTCCCTAGCTTAAAATTTAATACAGATTTCTGCATGAATTATTTTAAAAGCATCTAATATCTGCCTTTATTAATTCTGTTTAATTTTTTTCCTGGTCTTTAAAATGTGGTCTTCTGGGTCTCATATTTATCCTACTTTAATGTTTGATTTATAATCACTAGTGGAATCTCCCATTTTGATACTCCTGTTATTGCATTAATAAATTACTTTCTGGAACTAGATTTCAAAATTGTCATGTCATATTTTGCTTAATATTAAGTAATGAAATACGAGTGAATAAGAGCAATGAGTAGAGTGCATTAACACAGGAAGATTAAGGTAAGTGTTACTTGAAATATTCTTAAAACACAGTATTATGCATGTCTACACAGTACTTTGATTAAATAATCTTTCTTCCTTTTCAGCTCATTGAAAGTTAAGAGTCAATTATCCTGAACACATATTTGATTCAGTCAGTTTTTTTAAAAATGAAAAGGTGTGACAAGACAGAATCACCATCTAGCCTCTCCATCCTGAGCTCCGAGAATATATTTTTAGTGTTGTCTCCCTAGATGATTATTATTACTGTCATTTCCGCCTATCCCCCTTTTCCTTAATGTATCTAAAGAAAGGGAAAACATAGTAGTATGTTTTAGGTTAAGATCATTCAGATAAATACAACCCTTTATTTTCTACCTCTTCCACACAAAGCAGGTAGTAAAGCACTTCACAGAACAGTTCAGTTCTCAATTTGCTAATGAAATTGAAAACTGAGGCCTCCATATCCACCCCAAATGTCAGGACCAAGAACCAAAGCAGCCTACATGTATAAGATTTTATTTTGAGTTACTACATGTTCTTGCCCACGAAAATAAATGTAAAAGCATACAAACAACTTTCTTCAGGAACTCCATGAAAATTAATTTATCTGAATAAGAAGCTCTTGAAACTGAGCAAATTTCTTAATTATCAAACACCTGTTTACTTAATACTAACTTCAAGATGCCTGCCTCTTTGTCCACCAATCTTAAGATACTATATCATGAAATATGCCCAACTCTAAGCTGCTTCTCACATTGAAAGACCCACTCAAGCCCAGATCCCTAGCCCTATACTAACCTCCCCACACCCACCCAACTAGCTCCTGTTTCTGGATATCCTAAGACTGTCAAAATGTTGTCCTCCATAACTGCAATAGGTAATAAACTCAGCTCTGGTTAATAGGTTATACTTAGGGTTAACAGCAGACAAAATTCACCTTCCATGTACATCAATGTAAAGGCACTTTGTTTTTCTGTTGATGCTATGATTGGTCATGTAAATATGCATTTAATTTTGACATGATAATTTGCTCTGAATATTTCAAAACAAAACCTATCATCTATCTATAAAGATAATTTTCAAAAATTGGGAAAAAAGCATAGCAAATCAATTATTTGGGAATGTTAATTCAACTATGACCTTTGTTTTAAAAACTCTGTTTTAAAAAAAATCTGCTTTTGATATCTAAAATAAAAACTCCACAGCATCTGAAATATTTTTAACTCCCAATTAACTGAAAAAAATTTAAAAACAGTGAAACAAAATAATGAAATGATTTAGTTAAACATATCAAAGGGCAAGTCTGGAGTACTGAGCTAGTCATCTTTGAAACACAGCAGGCCCCTCATTCATCTCTCCTGAAACACTGCTCACAACTATGCAACACTATCCTCACTTTTTAAAGAGCCCCAAGCTCCATGTATTTACCTGTGAAAACCAAGGACGTCAGAAATGGCGTCACTGTCCTGTCTACCTCAAAATCTCACCCTATACTTTTTCTTTTTTATCCAGACTTCTAGAATGAGGTAATCTTTCTCCTTTGCAAAGCAAAAAGCTGTTTTGT